TCCCGTAGATTTTTTAGAAAAATTAAACAGACAGAACAAAGTTATCTGGAAAAATCAACTAAAGCATGATAAAAAATTTGACGAAATTATAAAGGTTTTCTCAAAGTTATAGCGTGAAGATAGTTTATCATCTGTCTTTTTTGATATAAGTAATATATTTTGAAAATGACTTTACATTATTTAAAATACTGACATATTGTACAATTGTTTAATTAATAGAAAGGTATCATCGCTATTACTAAAAAGATTCAAAAGATAACTTTACATCCTACTGCAGAATTATTTAAAGAACGCCTTGAAAGTTATGTTGAAAAGCATTCTAGAGAATATATTAAAGATATTAGAAAATACCGTTGGGATTCTCATTTTTATTCAGAATATATGACTATCATAAGTAACTAAGTTATTCTTTCTTATGAACTTTTAGTTTGTCATTTTTATTTAAATTTTATTTAGTGTCTTGAAACAATGCGTCACTGTTTAAATGCTATTGCTAAGGATATTCAGTTAGCACTTTTCAAAGTATTTCCTAAGGTTCCTGAAATAAAGGCAAATGCAGGTACAAAAATTGCTGAAGCATATCTAGACATATGAAAAGCAGACAATTCTGATCTCTTAATAATTAATACGATTATTATAAAGGCTATGCTTAGATAGAATAGAGAAGTTTGTATTAAGCCTTCAATAGTAGCATTTGCACTTACAGTTTGTAATATTGTCTTAAATCCACGAAGCAAAGATATCTGATATACTGAAGAAGCTATTAAGAAGCAATGTTTAATTTTCTTAGTAAGTATTTAATTTTACCTTTATATTGATTATATTCTTCCTAATCAAAGTTTTATCAATGGAAATAATTGAATATGCAACTTATTCTAATTGAAGAAGATATTGCAGATATCTATGATAATTTGAAAAATAATGAATATTTAAAAGATTATAATGATACCATCAAAGAAGAGACTCAAGAACCTTATTCTGAATCTGAAGATACTAGTTTATTTAATTGAATATAATACAATATTAATGGTAACTGTATAAATTCTTTACTAATTTTATGAGTATTTTTTATTTTTCTCTAT